TTCTTCAAGTCACATATGTGGCCATATGTGACTTAGAAAACGAGGTTAATAAACGAGGGATTGATATTCCAATAGAACATCCGACCTGTGGGATCCGTTGTTTTTTAATACATTGGCACTGGAACCAGTAATACACTTTCGGATCTTTGAGTTCTTGATGATACTGTGTGGATGTCATACCCCTTTTCCATAAAACCATTAGCACCTCACTGCCTAGAGAGGTAGTGGTAAATGAACAATGGCGCTAAAAATCCTCTCCTCACAAACAATTTTACCCTCGAACATTAGCTAGTCACAGATTTGAGCCAAGACTAAAGTGATGGCAGTCAAAAGTGTATAGAGTGAAAGCGGTGCACGCACCCTGAGCGCAGCATGGATATCTGTGGCCTAAAGAAACAGAAATAGATTGTTGAACGCGTCTACGAATGCATCAAGACGTATACTGAGGCCAAATACTTTAGTGCATTCAAAATGCGTTAATCAAGTTTTGCCTTCAGATTCAAGCGCCTATTCTGCTGACGAAGAGATCAAAATGAAACGCTGTTCCAAAATCAAACATATACTGCAATACCAAGCTGGAAAGCTCTACTTTAAAACGGTTTCCGCGGTGTTTCAAGGACCAAGAATCGTCTAAAACTATTAATCATTTGAGAACGCGTCTTCTACCAACAATTCAAATCCTGACAGTGCACCAATTGATTATAGATAAGGAAAAAAGATGGTACCAAAGCGTAGCTATCACTCCGACAAATGACCAAAATCTAGGCAAACATCTTTCCTCATGGGAACTCGAAATGACACAACCACCGGAATAATCACATGACTGACAACTGGAAATGTGTAAACTGATGGGTATTGCCTTTGACAGTCAAAACCAATCGATAATTTCTGAACCAGAATAGCTAAAGTAAACATAAGCAATGACGCAAAGAGAAAGTATCTTCATAATTGACATGCCACATCCCTCTTACCAACATCTGCAATGGAAGCTTCTCAATCAATCCAGGCAACCCGACAAGCTGGTTTGCATAGAAAAGTTTGCCTCTTGTTGGCCACAGTAAAAAACTGTTTTGTTAATGAGTAATGCGATGGATTTGGAAAGTAACTGCTTGATAGTAATAGATGGATTAAAAGTCAACGTTTTCCAGCGAATGCTCACATTGTTAAACAAAAGGCACAAACAACACTACAAGCGATCTCGATACGGAAAAGCCGAAAAGCGAGAAGTACAATTTGTTAAACTGAAAAAGATGGAAAATGAGGGAAGGGTAGCACATGTTACTCTAAACACTATGAGGAACTAATGAAGCGCAGATAAAATTCCCCCCCAAAGCGACGTCGTCGCGTTCAGAACAAATGCATACACCAAATTAAGGCATAAAAACTAGCTGGAAAATTATCGAAAGATAGTCGTCTGTTGTGGTAGGTTTCCAAAGAATGCATGATGCCAATATTAAGAGTAAGCTCAATTTCTGGGGAAGCTTTCAAGCACCAACGAATAAAAGACTCGAGCTCTCAGGTTCCCTAAGACAGTCGCGCTAACACTTGTACGCGCAGGTTCACATAAATGAATCACCAGTGAGGCATTTCAGCAAAAGCGTGTCTGTGTGTAAGTGAGAATGTGTTTACAGTAACATGCTCTTGATGCGTGTGTGGCAATAACACTCGTCCATCGTCATCTGTGTTTGAGCGCATTCATAAACCCACGGTACAGTTCACAACCAGTGCATTTAACAACAAACGGGAAAGGAATACTTGCAATGTTAATATGTTCTTAGCTGTCGACAATCACACACATCGGTACAATATGAGGTCATGCGTATCGCCTCATTCGAATCCGATTAAATGGTAGGTAATAAGGCAAACAAAACGGAAATGAAACAGAGAAAGCCCATAAGTGCGAAAATCACAAATAGCGCAAATCTTTAAAGAGCAGAAATTTGGGAGGACGGCATTTCCCATGCCTTTGAATGTGAACCCCTTTTCCCGTAGACCGCCCGAATAGAGCTATACAACCAATGCGAACGTTAGCCGAACCTACCTTAAAACAATGAAAAGTTTCAAAAGCAATCTGTTTCTCCTTGCTCTTGAGCAGATTCATCATAAGTTTGAGATTCTCAGGGTCGGCAATGTACCGATTCATTATTTCGCTGTTATGACGGTCCAGTAGGAGTTCCCCCAAGAGCTGCAAGAAAAAAGTCGCACTGATAAGATCCTCATGACATAAAAGTAGGGCAAAGTTACACCTAACATATTTTAATCGACCCTAACAGCCTCTGTGCGCCTTGACATGATTGTAGGGGGGCAAATTTCAGACTTTGTTGCGCAGCACCAGCTTAAGTACCGTAGCAAAGTACACTGAAAGGGAGGTATGAAGTGCATGAGCTTCGGCGTTTTTTACAGTCAGTGCAATAGATAGCTGAGGGAAGCACACAAACGACCATATCAACAACAAAGGCACGATTGATGATATGATAATCCAACTTCGTTCGTTGGATGTGACACCTTGAGGGAGCTGGAACAAAACAAAACTAAAATAATAAATCTGTTAAGCCATGACTAGAGGGCATCTATGATAACTTACTTCTAACAGTTGAATAAAGTGAACCTAATAATAAGCTTGCAACGTTGAGAAGTCGTTACAATCTTTATTACGCTAACCCGACACCAGATTTGCGAGCCAAGAAACTCTACCAATTCCACAAGCCACCCACAGTGATGTTAATATTCTCCCGGCACGTGCAGGACCGGAAATGCGCACATGCGCGCAAACGATTAAATTCTCGTTGATCGATTCAACAAACGTCATGCTTTTGAGAGAGTTAGAGTACACTGAATCGCAGATCCAGTGGTCTTGAATGCGTGCTTAACTAGCCTCTATATCACCAAGCAGATTAATTGGAATGAAGTGGCATGCGCCAGCACAAACAAGCCCCTTTCAGTGATTTATGCTTTCGGCAGTAAAACGGAAAAGTGCAGTCGGGTAAGTCGGCCTAGAAACGCAGCACTAACGACCAATAAAAAAGCCAACCAAGAATGCAATAGTGCCAGAGCTATTGCTTCACGAGGGTGCGACAAAATGATAGCTCTGCACCGAAGCCCTCAGCGGTATAGAATGAGAAGCAGCAAACTCAAAATCAATCTTTTGCCACATTCGAAGATAAAGAAAAACATGTCCAGAGAAAGAGATAAAAGTGCTATAAAGGGCGAGCTCATCTGCAAGTGCTAAATATAGTTTTCAAAGTCGCATGAAGAAAAAAAGGAAAGCACCCACATATTTCGCTTTCTCTCACTAGAGTAATGCCATAAAACTCGATATAGAGAAATAAATCAAGACTACGGCGGAAGAACATTAACAGTTTATTTTTTAAACAAATCCAAGAAGCGTGATGCCCGATTGTAGAATATATCGATGAGGGAACGATATTTCACTATTCAAAATGACTAAAAGGTTGAAATCCTCCTTTGTGGTAGTGAATACTAGAGTCAGTTTGCACCTAACCAATGAGTCTAAAACGGCCGATGAAGGAAGAGGAGCTAAGTCTCACAAGCTATGCAATGAAATTCCTGTTTTCTACACACATGGCTAGGGCGGTTAATTCAAGGCAGGCTTTGATGCGAATGAATTAATGCAGTCATATTAATAGCTTTTGGAGGGTTTTGAGAAACTCTGTCATTAATTCAAGGGAAACGTGACAAAAGAGGACTTTGACATCGCCCTAAACTGGAGCAACGAAAAAGACCAAAAAAGGTGAATTAAGATAGCCTTGAGAAAATAGAAGACAAAACTCCGTGATGGTCCTTCAATGCTATACCGATGACGTGTGTTCAATCATGCATAAGCAAACAGACAACAGGCGTAATGACATAAAATTAAACACGCCCGAAAGTCTGGGGAAGGAAGTATCTCACAGTGCTAGTAGGAACACGTTAAAGATATTACTTAATAAGTGCATAAATAAAAGAATACTTCGAAAATTCAACATACATATTTTCGTGGTCAAATAATGACAGCGACAGCGATTACCTTTAGGGCCTGACGCTTGGTGACGTAGTTCTCAGATGTGAGCATAGTAAGGTAATGTTTGAAAAAGACGTCGTAGTTATTTATAAGAAAGTCCGCAACCTCGGGTTTGTGTCGAGTTAGTAGATCTCGGAGGGTCGCGAAGGCATCAGAGCTTATGTCAAACGCCGTACCTTGCACATGCCCAAAGAGGTCGTAGAAACCAGGCGAACCCAGAACCAATTTAGTTATGTTCTCGTTTCGACAAGCGTCTCGCAATATCTGCGCAAAATTTATACATTGACCAACAAAACAACAAAGTAACAACATTTCCACAATTGGGATATTAAACGTACAGCTCCAAAGTGAATAGCGGTCTCGGGTGTGTTGTAGCCTTTAAGGAGCGTGGCTAGTATCTCAGGGTGTTCGCATAGATATCGAACCATAGGATTAAATGGACGTGCAGGTTTACGGAGAATGTGACCAAAAAGTTCAACTATTTGCTTACAGCTCTAAAGAAAGATTCAGTGACTTCCTGAATACTCATACCTCAAATTCTATGGCGTCGAGATGGGCAAGAATGAGTGGAACCATGTCACGGTTGATAATTTCTTGAGTTACTTCTGAGATAGTTTCACTTATGCGTGCTCGCTCTGCATTTGAAAACTCGGTATCTTTGTCCTTTCCGGAGACACGAGAATCAGACCGCTCCACCAGAGCTTCTCTCAATGAGTTTAGCGCTCGTGCGATCTCCTCCACGGCTTTACGCTTTTCCTTATCATTCTTATTGACATTATCAAGGACCTGAAAGCAACTAAGTGGGATTTCAAAATACTAACTTACCAACAAGCTATCATAAATTACGGCAATGTGTTCTCGAGGCTGCTTATGCTTGGTAAACATAGGCATCATGGGCATGATGACCAGAAGACAGCTACAAATTGAAAGTAAACAAAAGAAGAGGCAATGAGGATTATTAAGCGGTACTATGAGCCAAAAGAGAACTTTCAAAGACTCAAACCTCAGAAGGCCGTTACGAACACAAGGCAGAGGCGCCGGAGGACAGAGCCAGCTAAAACAACAAAGGCATATTTGATACTACTACAGGGTAGTGCAATTCCCTAGATTCACTTGGAACCAGTAAGATTCTTTGCAAAAAATTACGATCTGTATTAAACAGCTAGCGCCAAAAAATGGGACTCTGCCGATTTAAAAACTGTTTGATATGTCAATGATGCCTGAGATCATAGTTTCCACTGGGAAATTTTTTCCATTGCCAAACGTGGAAGGAGTGAACTTGGTTTCAAACACTAGGTTGGGAATATTTCAGAAAGACATACTTACTAGATGTTTTGATACGGTATCGCTTATACAATATTCCTATTGGAAGTATTTAGTTCTCAAAGGTGTTAAGCGAATTTCAAATACTTTGCGTAGCACCTTGGATTCTTTGCTAAAAAGAAGATACTCAGTAGATATAAATAAATGTATTAAAGGGAGAGAAGAAACTGGGTCTTGGATTGGCCTGAAGACCTTTACAAGCGTAAGACGAACCCTGAGGTGACCTCCAGACGCACAGGTGATTGAATAAACAAAAATGTTTCATTGTTCTCTCCACTTTTGAGCGACGTCATCGGCGCTCCCGTTGAATGACCTTCTGCGCTGGGCATCACAACGTTATTCACCACTGCAAGGAAGCGCTCACGAGCCAGAAGCACCAGTCGTCAGTTACAATGAGACTGAGAGGCTACTAGTTAGCCTTCACAGAAGCTTAAATTTGATCTGGAGTTGCGTTTAGTCTAAGGGAAACAATTAAAGAGAGGATTTTCCGCCAATTATCAATTGCGCCCGAATTCCGGTTGAAACGAGATGTTTAGCAGGGAAGTTAAAATTAAACAATCCCGAATGGAAAGAAATTTGGTGAATGTGATAAGGTAACTCCGAAGCGAGGCTTTCGCAGATGGTAAATTGCGGTCATCTCAGCTGCTAATAGCTTGTCTGCAGTGTACGGAATTGGGTAGAGCTGAACGTAGGCATCCATTCTAACTCTTACGTTGTGATAAAATCCGAGAACCTCCCGTTCAAAGTATATGCGTGCTTATGTGCTTAAGTTGCCCATATAAGGGAGAGGCGGTTGGTTAACTACAACACAAATATCGCTCTTGAAGAACTCGAAGGTCCTTTCAATGAGTAACACCTGATCACCGTCTTATCCATACCTATTCCCCCTTCTCTTGTGTAAAGGATGCCTAATAAACCATTTCCAAACAATCTTCTTACGAAGTCGGAGGTTTATAGGGTAGGTTGAGAAATCCCACAATAGACTCTTCCTTCACACCGTGGATATATTATACGAACTCTGAACACCAGGACGGATGTCGTAACACAGTAGTGTTCGCTATCCTCTGCCACCATCGTAGATTCGACACTCCCCGTTAGGTACAGGACGATACAAGGCCAATGAAATCGCTGGATATAAAGGCGGTCACATAAACAGGGTATTACATTTTGTTTGCCTATCAATATCGATTTCAGCCACTAATGTAGCCATGTCGTCAATATGAAAGTATTAGCCTCCGGGTTTTGTCACAAATCCTAATCCTTCCCTCGTTCGCTTGAATATATGCTTTAAACCTACCTTACCTACAATATCCAGGAACATTACTTTGGTGACAGTCATGTAATAACTAACAAACAACTAGTTTAGCATTATAGTCTAAAAATCAGTTGATGGACTCGATGCTATCAGTCTTTAATGCTATTAATAAAATAGGATGCCACGATCCAAGTTGCAGATGTCAACAAAACGCCCAAAACCTAGAAAAAAGTGGAGATAAAGTATTCACGGCTATTAACGCATGAGTAGTTTTCTGAGACTCCTGAACTGTTGACTCCGAAGAGAATGGGTGGAAGTGGGGCTATGGTTTGGCTCGAGTGCCATCCCAAGCAGAAGAAGTAAGGTCGTTAAAGTGACAGTGATAAGCAGTATTGGAGCATGGTCTATGAACGAAAAATAATTTCACGCTGCAAGCATTGGTAAGAAGTAGTTACCGCTTGAAAGCAAAATTGCCAGCTGCGTGCTATACCTAAGGCAAATGGTTGAAGATGTGTAACAATTCAAGGGAGCAATGCTACAGAGTCATGATTGCTACCATCACTTTCTCTGGCCGTATCCTGGAAAGTACATTTAAGAAATCGGAGATACATTGGGATTACAAAATTAATGTGATTTGAAATTCGTCAGTTCAACTGCACCTTTTGAACTAGTCTTGTGAGTTGAGACGATACCAATAACCAATAAAAGGAGTTGATATAATATACACTACTTTGTTTAAGCGAATTTTGATTGGAGAGAGGCGGGAACCAATTGGGAACGGGGATCACGTGAGCGAAGAGGGTGAGGAGTCTCTCTTCGGTTGATATCTCATATTCGGCTCATCTGTATCCCAATCTCCATTCTCCCTGTAACAAATGCCAAATACATCATTTGCAGCCAACCCACTCTTGAAGTCCGAGGTTCAAGCGCAAGAGGGTAGGCAGGCGGCTCTTACACTGGCGGCAGCGCCAGTCGAAATCCCTCCCGTCAAAGAAGGCAGTGATTTCGATGACTGGCTTTTCTCGACAAAGGCAGAGCTCGAACTCTACGAGCCTGCACGGAGAGTGCCATTGCTACTCCCGACCTGCATCGGGAAGGAGTGGATGCGGGTGTCACGCTTTCCTCAGATATGGGGGAGTGCTGTGGAGTTCTTGTCAAATTCATATCCCACCAGAAGGAAGAATTTTGGGCTTCAGACTTTTCCACCAGTTACAAAACCGGGAGAGAGAGATGAAGACTTTGCGGGGAATCTCCAGTCATTAGCCAAAGAGGCATTCAAGGATTGCCGTCCCCTGCGGGTTACCTCATGGGTAGTGGCACAGTTCAAAAGGGGTGTATGTCCACTTGCCTTGGCAGGACAACTGGTGCAGATGAGGGCTAGAAGATTGAGCCGCCTCGTTGACGCGGCACTAGCTAAGCGCCAGGAGTTACAACTCTCAACCGAGTTCAAGGCCCGCATTAGCCCGTGGACTCCCAATAGACGGCCTACTGGCGGGCAAAGGCATGCGCTCCGAAGCGGCCTTTCAACACAAAGTAAGACAATTTTCTTTGTCTTGTCTAGCTTTCTCACGATGTGCTACCTTTATGCACGTGCGGGGCAAGCTAGGTCACGCATAATCTTTTCTTTTGGACTCGGAGGCAGTCCGTTCCTTACTTTATCCACAAGCCTTCCCCATGGTCTGCAGTAAGGCCAATATTACCCCACCGGCTACTAGACTACGCTCTGCAAAAGGAAGAGAAATCTCGGTAATAGGAGAAGCACCAATCAGAGTTTCAATCGGGAATGACAGCTGGGAGGTAAACTTCGTGCTGTGCACAGAATTAGCCTGGGACATACTGTTAGGAGCTGACTTTTTACGCCAGTCCCGAGCGGTTATGGACTTCGATACAGGCATGCTCAGAGCCCATCGGAGATCCAAGTAGAAGCGTTTGATCCCTAGGCCAAAGAAAGATGCAGATGGTATATGCAAATCCTTTTTCGTCACCCTTGTCGTCTCCGGGGCCAATCTGAACGATCTCTGCGCTCAAATGAAACAGGTTACTGATGACGAGAGGAAGGAACTGCACTCATTCCTGAAGAATTACTCACAGATGTTTTCCTGGGAGGGAGCGAAACTGGGACGGACAAACATAGTCAAACACAGGATCGATACTGGCGAGGCCAAACGAGTCCGGCAGCCCCCTAGACGCATACCACCACCCCTCCAAGACGAAGTACAGCGATTGATTGATGAGATGCTGCGCGATAGTGTTATTAGGCCCACCCAGTCACCCTGACCCTCCCCCATCGCATTAGTTAAAAAGAATGACAGCAGCCTACGTCTGTGTCGATTATAGGAGGCTCAATGCAGTAACAAAGAAGGACGTGTTCCCTCTACCCCACATTGACGACTCGTTGGACTCTCCGCAAGGAGCGAAGTTGTTTCCGACATTGAGTCTGAAGTCGGCTACTGGTAGGTGGAGGTAGCAGAGAAGGAGAGAAAAAACAGTCTTCATTGTGCTAAATGGCCTATATGAGTTCCAATCGATGCTTTTTGGGCTTTGCAACACAGCAGCTACCTTCCAGCGACTTATGCAGACGGCATTGCTTGGCCTATTCCCGTTTTCGAGAGCGACATCAAACAACCTAATTCCAACCTCCGATTAGTACTGAATCTCTTTCGGGAAGCAGGTTTGACGCTGAATCCGAAGAAACGCAGTTTCTTCCAAAAGTCGGTCACGTTTCTGGGCATACAATTTCTGTAGACGGGATGGCGGTCACGGAAGACAGAACAAGAGAAGTAAGGACTTGGCCGACAAATCAAACGGAGCTTGGTTTGGCTAACTGTTATAGGCGTTTTGTAAAATGGTTCGCCAAGATCGCAAGTCCCCTATACAAGTTGACAGAGGAACAGGTAAAATGGAGTTTCTTTGGGAAAACGAACAGACTGAAGCGTTTAAGAGGTTGAAGTGTGCTCTCTGAGCGGCACTGATCCTGACTTTGCCAAACTTCAGTGCCGCGGCTCCTCCTTTCGTGCTAGATACAGACGCAAGCGACGAGGCGGTGGGCGGAGTCCTATCCCAGAAAGACAAGGACGGGAGAGAACGTGTGATCGCGTATACCAGCTCTCGCCTAAGCAAAAAGATGAAACAGAAGAGTGCAACGGAACGGGAACTTTTCGATATTTATACAATGGTCAGGTATTTTGAGCACTACTTGATTGGAAAGCAGTTCGTTGCGAGGACAGACCATCAAACACTGATATGGTTGGAGACGATGAAGGAAATCGACCACTCGGTTGCAAGATGGTACGAGGAGCCCCAACAATATGATTTTACAGTG